CCAGTTTAGCCACGTCTTTGAATCCCTCCTCTACAGTATGTGTTAGCATTAGACTTTCATCGGGTGCCTTGATCCCCTGCGGCAAAACTTGTAATCTTCCTTAAAAAAGTTTGGTCACCATCTTTCTTTACTTTGTCTTTTTTCCTCCATTTATATTTATAGTACTTCTTGAAATATTTTACATCTTTACGACGCACTACTGAAGCTACGTACACAAGTGACGTCACGTGACCCCGTAATTTGAATTATATTGGTGAATATAAATACTTGGGCCTTGTTATCAATAAATTCCTTGACATCTGCTATCAGTCCATTACATTACGCAGTATGGGCTTTTCAACCTGCACTAAGTTATACGAAGCAGGTGTTTGGCAAATGCTTGACTACTGAGTTGAAGTATGGGATTATGAAAAAAAGTAATAAATGTGGAAGGATTCAGAATATTGCGCTTAGATATTTTTATGGGGTGCATGGATTTACCCAAATCCCAAGAGTTTTCGATGACAGTGGATGGATTCATGTAAACGTCGGTGATGGATCAATATGTTGTAACTGTGGAAACATTTCGGTAATCTAGATAAAAAAATTGCATTACTAAGCAAATATTTCGGTAGAATCGTGCAATGAACTATAAAAGCTGGTCGTCTGAAATTTACCAAATAGTGGATAATATTGGATTTGATAGGGATAATGTATTCAATGTAAGCATTGGTTATTAAAACATATTAGAAGCAAGCTAAAATCGTTGTATAAGGTGGGAAAATATGTTACTATTTATTCATTTTAATTGTGCTCAACGATCCTTATTAGCTCAATTACGAATGGGTTTTTGAATTGATAGATATTTCGACACGAACCCTCAAGTGCAAGGATATGTGCACTCTCCGATATTCAGTGTTGTTGAAGATTGCCGTTGAGTGTCATTTTCTATTACCTGCGTCAGCGTGAACCAGCGCGCAGGTAGGGAGGGCGTTCAGGGCGGTAAACTTGTGTGTATATATGTCCGCGTTTTACCCTCAATGTACAGACTTTAAATTTGACACGGATGTTCACTATGTCACCCACACGGCGCAGCAACATTTTTGGAACAAATGGTCAAAGGTCAAATACACGTGTTTATGTGTTTAATTAACATGAGAAAAATAACCAGTGCTATCAAAATTGGCACAAATGTTCCTTGTGTGATTCGCAAGAACTTGCCACATTTGAAAACATAGGTCAAAGTCAAAGCATAACTACCTAGGAAAAAAAACCAGGGCATTCGAACTTGGCAAACGTGTGCGACTAACAACACCTAGACGTATTTTCGTGTCATAGGGTCAAAGGTAAAAGTCATGTGATTGATTTATGTAAGTTCAGTTTTGAGCTACAAGGGGAGATAACTAGGAACTTCAAACTTGGAACACATGTTCCTCACGTAGGCCACAGAACTCGGAAAATTTAAGAAACAAAGACGGAGGTCAAAGCGTGTGTTTGTGTAATATAACCACAGATTATGTCCCAGATATTGATATTAAAAAAGAGACAGAAAACATATTAGATTAGTTTGAATAACATGAGGGTTATTCAAAAGCGACGTCAATTACAGCTGATCTTAGGAAGCCTTCTCAAGTTGATATTACGGGAATTTTAGAAGAATGGATTCTCCGTTCACTGCGAGATCTCGCGCATTGCATGAAAGGCGCGAACCTAATGTCTACCGCTAAAATCAATTTGTTTTCGAACATCATCAAATGTGTAAGGAACATTATTAAGCGCGGGAATGCCCCCAAGATACTTTCGCATTCGTTGAAGTTGCAGATGATCATGGTATGGGGAACCTACAGATTACCAAGAGATAAGAATTAAAATATGCTGGAGATGATATTAACATCCCTTGTACAGAATACAAATGGTGAAAACGGGTCGAGACAGCTCAATGAATTTAGCAAAATCACAGAGGGTGTTTATAAAATAGTAAAAACTACAGAAGCTGAGAAGAAAGTAAAGCTGAGTCAAGTAGTATAGAGGTCGCAAAGTTTTGACTTCTGACACTAATTAAAATCAGTACCATGTAAACAGTTGCACACGATTTTTTTGATGAATCAACTGATGACAACAAATTATATATTATACATATGCTGTCACACTTTTAGCAAAAACTATAGACTTAATCTTATAGTACAATGCAGCCAATGATTCTGAGGAAATTGGTAACAAGATTTGAAACACATACCATCCATCAACCCACCAATCCACCAATCCATCAATCCA